GGAATTCTAGTTACCAAAAATAAAAGATCATAACGTATTAATAAGAAACTTTCAATCACAAATTAAAACTTCAATTCCCAAATTTACAGATGTTTTTAACCTTTCCTTATAAGCATTGTCTCTATAGACCGACCCTAAACAGGCATTCGTCAATTTTATCATTCTGTGTACCTGGTTGATACCTGGTTGATGGGGTTCTGGGAGTTCTTCTACTCCCCAAGCCCGGCCCGAGGCCAGGCTTGACTTGTGAGAGTTTGGTCCACCAGGCTGTTGCTTGGAGCGGCCCGCAGGCCCACATATACCTGGTTGATGGGGTTCTGGGAGTTGTTCTACTCCCCAAGCCCGGCCCGAGGCCAGGCTCGACTTGTGAGAGTTTGGTCCACCAGGCTGTTGCTTGGAGCGGCCCGCAGGCCCACATATACCTGGTTGATGGGGTTCTGGGAGTTGTTCTACTCCCCAAGCCCGCCCCGAGGCCAGGCTCGACTTGTGAGAGTTTGGTCCACCAGGCTGTTGCTTGGAGCGGCCCGCAGGCCCACATATACCTGGTTGATGGGGTTCTGGGAGTTGTTCTACTCCCCAAGCCCGGCCCGAGGCCAGGCTTGACTTGTGAGAGTTTGGTCCACCAGGCTGTTGCTTGGAGCGGCCCGCAGGCCCACATATGTGTGTTCAAAATCGATTTCTTCCTATATGTAAAGATTGACTTTGTTAAATATTAGGAACTTGATTTATAGTTCGGCCTAAATTAGGTTTGGCGCGGGGATTAGATTCCGTTTTCTATTTTTAATACTTGTAGAACACTAGGGGGAAGCATTTACAGAAGTGCAGTTCGAATCGAGGGCGTTACAGCGAAGCACTGTTCGAGAAATGTTCGAAAGACTATTAGCTGTGAGGCGTGGTAGTGTGCAGTGTTCGTGTATTTATTCATAAACAAGGAATTCAACACGTGGATTAAGGAGCATATGGTCCGTTATTTATGAGGACTAGCTGTAGGCTAGGGCGGGTTAGCTGATAGGTCAGGTAGGTCAGGACCTGGGGCCCACAAGCACCAGGAGGGGCCCCACCATTACCAGGGGCCCCACCATCACCAGGAGGGCCCACCATCACCAGGAGGACCCACCATCACCAGGAGGACCCACCATCATCAGGAGCCCCACCATTACCAGGGGCCCACCATCACCAGGGGCCCCACCATCACCAGGAGCCCCACCATTACCAGGGGCCCACCATCACCAAGAGCCCCACCATTACCAGGGGCCCCACCATCACCAGGAGCCCCACCATTACCAGGGGCCCACCATCACCAAGAGCCCCACCATTACCAGGGGCCCCACCATCACCAGGAGCCCCACCATTACCAGGGGCCCCACCATCACCAAGAGCCCCACCATTACCAGGGGCCCACCATCACCAGGAGCCCCACCATTACCAGGGGCCCACCATCACCAAGAGCCCCACCATTACCAGGGGCCCCACCATCACCAAGAGCCCCACCATTACCAGGGGCCCTACCATCACCAGGAGCCCCACCATTACCAGGGGTCCTAACAGCAGTTTTTAGTGCCATAACAATGAACAAATATGAAATAATACTTGGAATAACCAGTTACTTGGTGGGTTTAAATGGGTACTAATATTTTATTAAAAGCTATAATCAGCATTTTTGTCAGCTTTTATATGTATTTGCTACACAATCTCCCTGGCTTGGTGCATTGTTTTGATAATTTCTTACTTTTATGTACATTGTCATTAACTGAAAAATGAATTAAAACTTGTTTAGGAGTTTGGCCTCAATATATTCCTCTGCAAAACTGTGCCTAATATAGCTTTGATAATTAATCATTACATATTATGACATGAGCTGTCTACATGTGTGTTTGTTTTTAGACTTCGTATAGCCACAGTGACTAGAGGGTGGGGCCCATTCACCTGTTTTGGCCCATGGGGCCCCAAAACAGATCTGGCCCTGGCTTCAGGTGCAAGATTTTCAAAATATGAAAATTATGCAAGATTTTCAAAATGTCTATGATAAAATGCTACACGAAAGTTTGCAAGAAATATTGGAGCAGATTTTGAAGCCACTGGAGGAATATATATACACATTTTCATAATCTAAAACTAAACAAATTATTTCAGAGAGGGCCTTATCAAAAGAAAATAAGGAATACTGAGAGCTCTTTGACGTGATGGAAGTCATGATTAGGGTGCCAGGGCTCGGTTCACGACCCCTATCTCCTAAATCTATCCTCTCTCTTCCTTTCACCTCTCCCTTATCTCTCCATCCCTCATTTCCCTACTTGCCTCCTCAATTAGTGTGACGATAAGTTGTATATGTCAAGCTACTGTCGTCAGGCTATGCTATTCAAAGCAGTGATCTAGAGAGAGATTGGGAAAGAGGGGGAAGAGGGTGGGTAAGAGACAGACCCCGGGCACCGCCGGTTACCCCCTCTAGTACATTTATGTGAGACTCGAGACAGAAAATACAGGAAGGAGGATATTGTAG